GAGCCCAAGGGCCGCCTTTATCCGGGTTCAAAGGATCGCTCTCACTCGGGGACTGCCATCTAAAGACAAACTCAAACGGCCCACGCTATCAAAGCACGGGGGCACAAGACCTATTAGGCAGTGCCCGAACATTAAAGGCTACGGTCATCCCCATTCGGGGACTATTATCTTGGGCAAGCCCGGATAATTTGGGGTACAAGCCCATTGGGCAACACCCGAACTAAAAAGGCTACAACTATACTAAAATGGCTCGGAGACATTCGAGACCCGTAACAAAAAACAAGGCCTTCAAAATTTCTAAATCGGTTCAAAAGGCTACCATCGGCAAAATTATCATCTAAAAAGTTCTAAGTGTTTTGGGGAAAGCTTCTAGTCATACCAAGACCCCACAAATCGTAAACAAAATAATATCGAAAGAAAGGCTTGTTCGAACCTCCAGGCAAGATCTAAATATTACATGCTAAGGCATTTCGCTATCTTCACAATCATAAAGAAAAAAGTGAAAAGAAGCAAGCCTAGAAACTGTCGGAGGGAAAAAGATCCTTATATATATAAAAATATCTTTACAAAGGACATACGGCCTCAACAAAAAGCACAAAGGAGCAAAAACAAAGAAAAATTTACAAAGGCCAAACAACCTCAACCAAAAAAAAAATAAAAAGAGTACAAAAACAAAGAAAAGTACACAAAGTACTTAAACGACTTGGCCTCCACTGGAGCCCGCCTCGACATCAGGACCTCGGAGTCTTCTTCATCCTCGGGATATGCCAACTTCTTGGCCTCGGCCTCAAACCCCTTAGCGGCTGCGATCTCGGTTGGCACATCAAAACCCCGAGCGTGAACCTCCTCAAGGGCCTCCCTTCGGGAATGCCACTTCATGTATTTGACCATGTCCCTTAAGCAGTTCTGGGCTGCCTTGACGTCGGCCTTATACTGGGCCACCATCTCTTCGACATCAATTTTGGTCACCTCAACCACCGACTTGGCCATTTTGAGCTCCTTGGCAAGGGTTTCTCGATCGGAGACGGCTGAGCTTAGCTGAGACTGGAGCTCCTTAATTGTTTGGGCCTGCACCTCGGCCTTTTCCTTTGTCGCCCGAAGTTGGACCTCTGCCGAGGTCAACTGCGCCCGAGCAGTCTCTTTTTTCGAGGCCAGGCGGTCCTTCCTGCTTCTCCATTCTTCGGCCTCGACTTTAACTGCATCCATCTCGGCTCGGAGTTGGTCGATCCGATCGATTGTTGGACCTGCGGGTTCCGACCGTTAGTCACCATGTCTAGCGCATCATCATAAACTTCAAATATTTTTACCTGTTCAACCAGGTCGGCGTGTTCCTTCCGAGCCACCTCTAACTCAGCTAGAAGACTCTTAGCCTCTCCTTCACGTTGCTCGCTGAGGAGTTTGTAGGTGTCTCTCTTCTCAATGAGCCCTGAGACTTCGGCTTCTAGCTGGTTCAGCTCGTCTCGATACCAAAGGAAAGTTTCATGATGAAACACCGAGGCCTACAAATACAAAGAAAAATGTTAGGATTATCTATGGATTAGTCTGAATGCAAAAAGAGAAATTGAAGTCATCGAGAGATATCTGAAGTTACCCGATTCAGCGCATGTTGTGCTTCATTGAACAGGCAGGGCGCGTCTACCTCGTTCATCTTGGCTTGGTCTTCCTCGGTCACTAGGCACCGAAGGTAGCTGCCCCCCCTACGAGGGCGGAGAGGACCCGGGCATCCTTCGGAACAGAGATGATGATGGATCACTTCCGGTCAGGATCCATACTCGGAGCTGGGAACCGGTTGATCAGTTTAGGGCTCGAGGAAGACCCGTTTTCTCCCGAAGATGGACTCTTCTTCGGTACCTCTAAGTAACCCAATCTGGTGACGTCCTCTGTGGCGGTGGAGTCCGCGCCATCAAAAAAGCAGCGGAAGGGGTCGTCCGCTCCATGGCCACCTCGTTGGGACGCTCTTTCACCGTTTGGGCCCCGTTATACATGGACTCAGTAAATGAGGGTGATTCGGTGATATCTATCACACCGAGTGCTTTCTTCGGGGCACTGCCCGCATCCCGGGAAGCCTAGGCCCCACCCTCCTCATCGACCTCCTTAGCTTGAGGCAGGTCGATCTCGAGATTCTCTGGTTCGGAGGCCCCTTGCCCTTCGAGCTGCGACGGGATGCGGGCCATCAGGACAAAGGCTTCTTCTTCTTCTTCGGACTCGTCTCTTAGCCGGTAGAGCGAATCCGAAGGTGGTGCTCAGGCACTGATGTTGTCTTTTAGCATGTGCACCAGCCTTCTTCTTGTTTTCTTTTTCTCCGAGCATGGGGAACTGGGAGCCCTCTTTCTTTTATTCTCTTCGGCCTGTCTCGGAGCAGGGGACTCGGTAGGTAAGTCCTCGCTACCGGCTGAAGGCTTCAATTCAGCAACCTTGGATAAACATGCAAAAAGAAGTAAAGGGAGTGAGGACTTAATGATAAAAGAGGAATCCAAATATTACCTACTCAGGAAAGGAGTCTCACCATAGGAACGAGCCTCCCAACGGCCCTTCGAGAGCTTGTGCCATGAGCGCTCGGAGTAGGGCATCTGTGATACAATACCCACAACCCACTCCTTGAGTCGAGGGACAACATTCGGGACCCGAGCGATGGCTGCACTGCCACAAAACACCGATAAGAAAGAAGGGAATAAGTATAAAATCGACTTTCGAAAATAAAATTATACTTATGTGATATATTCCACTTCTCGGGGAATGGCATGCGCTCAGCTGGGATCAGGTCCGAAGTCCTCACTCGGACAAAACGGCCTTGCCAGCCCTGATCCCGGTCTTCATCAATACTCGAGAACGGGGCTTTGCTGGCCTGGCGCGTGAGCTTTATCAGTCCCCCCCGGAAGATTCAGGGACTGTGCAAGCATAGAAGATGGTCGACGGTGAACGAGCACCCATCGATTCTGCTCACGAAGAACCGGAGGAGGATCATGATCCTACAGAGCGAAGGATGAATCTGACCGAGGCATACCTCGTACCTCTTACAGAAATCTATGATAACCTGGTCCATCGAGCCCAATGTAAAGGCATAAGTGTAAACATTTTGGTATCCCTCGACATGGGTGGTAATAGCTTCATCGTCAGGGATCACTATGCCCTTATCGGCCCAATTGTAGCCTTTTCGGACCGTAGGGAGGACTTCTTCAGTGATCGAGCAGATGTATCTCAAGACCTCCTCACACCGGCCTTGTACGGAGGAAGATTTTTCAACCTTGAAATCAGGGTTGACCATGCATCCTCTGGGGATGAACATTTTCAAAAGGGTTTTCGGTACTGGTTCGTCGACGGTAGTACGCGAAACAGTTTCCTCGGCCTTAGTAGCCGGCCGCGGAGTAGAAGGGGTTTCTTTCTGGGGAACTGTTTTGGAAGTCTTTGTCATTTCTTTAAAATGGAGGAAGGATGGAGAAAGAAAGGAAGTTGAAGGATTGTACTTGATGGCTTGAGATGGAGATAAACAAGAGTTCTTGTAAAGGATCTCAGATAACCGGAGTGAAAGCACTAGAAAATATTAAAATCTTAAGGATACGAGGGTAGAAAGTTTGGATGTAAAGTTAAAATGAACAAAGGAAGATGTATTTATAGTATTTCAGCAATGGTTCGCATCTAGGAATGGCCGACCAGCGGCTCATATATGCATTTAATGCCATCAAAACTTGACTGACGAGACGTTTTAGTTGTTTTGTCGTTTCTGTCACGATGTATCGAAGTAAGAATCGGAAGCTCATGTCGTTTCTCGTCGTCTGCTCTCCGAAAAATGAGGTGACTATCCGTATACGGTCGAAATCGAGCTCGTGGTGCATCCTAACATCCGACATGGTAAGCCAGGCTCGAGACATGACAATAAAGGATTGAAGATCGACCCCAAGTCCCACCGAGTTATAACCCGTAGACAGGACGCCTGCCTTCGAGAATATTGAGGCCATGATCCCGGAATCGGTCCTAGCCCCAAACAATTTTGAAGAAACATTGTCAGCATAGCCAACGGAAGACCAAAATATCTGTGACCGACCGGATATTACGGCGGGAATCTCGGCACAAACCGATAAAGAACCGGCAATCACTGGATCAAAAGATTTTTTTACCTTTTATAGAATTGTAACTAAAGTAGGACTCCTTTACTAGTCTGATAATCCATAAAGTACATTGTAACACGAATTGTAACTAAAGTACATTATTTTTTCTGTTATTTGTTCTTCTGCTTTCGTTCATCAGTGTTTGTTGTGTTACGAGCCTAGATCGAGGGCAAATACCTACCACATTAAGGCTTAAATTGTCCTCCTCGTGTGGTTTTGATCTAAACTTCTGCTTTGTGTCAAATAAATCCGCGTATTCTTGAAACCACTTACAAATTTAATTGTTATCCGATTTTGAGGGTGATAGATTGTGATTACCTAATGAAAATAATAATAAATTCTTATTAATTTGTTAAAGTGGACAAGTAAAAATTTATTCTTAATATAGACTAAAAGGGATCCTAGAAAGTACTTCTTAAAGACTTATGAATCTTGTCAGTTGTCTCCCGCTAGTGAGGATCACATTTTTTGGTACCAGCTTGGTGGAAATCATTAAGATAATAATTGTATAAATCATTAAAAAAAACAATCAAAATAAAGAAAAGAAAATTGACCTTAGTCATTTGTCAAGACAGAACCTTGTTTTAAAAAAACTCCGAAGGTCTGAATCAATTTAGTGGCTCTTATGAACATCTAATATTATTGTCATTTTGCAACGGCAATAATTAGTACTGCCAGCAAAGCTAGTTTCACATAATTTTTAAATGAAAAAAAAAAAAGAAATTAATTTTGACTAGAATAATTCCACATTGCATTAATTTATGGAGTTGGATTGTCAAAATTTGGAAGAATATCGGCCACAAAGATTGTATGTTTGATGTGTACTCTTGTTTAGATATTCAAACTTCTATGTAGTGCTCGGACACTTGAAAAAGTTTGGGTGAATACTCAAAATGTCTAAATCTTTAAAGTCATCCATTAGAAGTCAAATGAAAAGGACATTAGCAAAGAGAACAACTAAACAAGAAGGAAAATTGGAATGATACCTAATAACTACTTCAACTAACTAGCAATCATTCTATGTTCAACATGTTATGTTGAACATATTATAGTTATTTCTACCACTTCTAATTGTTGTTCTGCTTTTCTGTAACAGATTTGTTGTACTCTTCCATTTCCTTTTTGTATGCTTCCATTGCTTCAGCTGCTTTGTTATTCCACACTTGTTTTTCTTCTTCACTCACTTCCTACAAATCAAAACAATAGCATACATATCAACCACACACTATAGAAAAATATGTATACTTTGGACTGAGTCAGTCAGTTCAATTTAATTGGTTATAACAAATTTTTATTCTATTCTTCAGGTTACTATATAAGAGGCTTGCTACGAAGAGCTACATGTTATAGGTCAAATTAATCTAATAGCATTAAAATATATACACTGCATGAAACTTAATCTCTCTCCTTATTTACCTTCCATTTCAGTGAAATGAGAGCAGTAATAGTAGAATTGTTGATTCCAGGCCGCTCTTCGACTAGTTTCTTCCTTTCCTCTTTGCTGAAAAGAAAGAATGATCCAGCAGGCTTCTTTGGTTTGTTAGGATCCACAACATTGTCTTCTTTTTGTTTCTTCTTTTGGCGATTTTCTTTTGTTTTCTGCTAATTACCACAACAAAAAACCAAATCAATAAGCTAATTCGAGTTTCATAGCCTAATCAGAAATTGGATCAAGAATGGCTAGAGCAAACAATATATAATAAGAACCTTGATTAAATTTTCCGTCTTTTCTTTCTTTTTGAGCAATTGAAGTGCTTCTTGTTTCTTAAGTTTCATCAATTCCTCCTCTTCCTTCAAATGTTCAGCAGCCTCTTCGTCTTTCTTCTTCTTATAAACTTCCATTTCTTGCTGATATTGCTCCTTTCTCTTCATTGCCATCTGCATATGTAACAACAACATTTCTAAGCTTCTAAAAATAGAAACATTGTTTTCAATTTTCCAAGACAAAGTAAAAGACCTCTTCATAAGGCGCTTTTTGTTTCTCTGTCATGTTCTTCCATTCTTCACCAGTAATTTTTGACACCTATAAATTGTGAAAAACTAAGTTTAGAAATTTAATAATCCCAATAAACAATAATGACAACAACTATGCCTCAATCCCAAGCAAGTAGAGCAGTCGGACAAACAATGAAACTCATCATTACCTCCTTCACATTCTTGTTCTCAACAAGTAGAGCAGCGCGACGCTCATTTGTAAACAGGAAAAATGCTGACAATGGTTGCTTTGGTTTCAAGGGGTCTTTTTCTTTCCTATAAAGATGAATTAACGAGGCGAGTATAAGATTTGAAGTTGGTAAGCACCAAAAATAAATACGACTCAAGAGAAAGGGAACTTTTACTTTTTCTTCTTGTTTTCATTTTCAATTGCTCCTTGTTGGAATTGAATATATTGTTCAAGCAATTCCATAGCTGTTTTCTGTTTCTGCTCTTCATCTAAGAGCCTCATAGCTTCTAATTCGCGCTTCTCCTTTCCGACAATTTTCAAGTAAGCTTCCTTTTCAGCTTGGTATTTTTCCTCATAAGGCTTCTTCTCTTCTGCACTTATAGTTTTCCACTTTGCCCCCAATAAATTTGATATCTCCTTGAACTCAGCATTTGGATTAGCCTTTTTCACCTGAAATAACAAATTCCCACTATAATAAAACCAGGATATTAAAAAAGCACAAAATGCAATGAACATTTGAACTAAGATTGTCGCAATACCTCATTCCATTGGTCTTTGCACCACAATAGGTACGGCGCTGCTGGTCTTTTCTTCGAAGGATCGGCCTTCTTCTTCTCTTTTTTCTCCTCTTTGTCCCTTAGAGATTGCACTATAGGGAAATTCTAATGAAAAATGAAAAATGAAAATAAAGATGTCAGCTTTGAAACAACTAGTAGTTACAAACAAGAATATCTAAGATATAAATCAACTACACCTTAATCCCAAACAACAAAAATGTCAGTGTTGGAACTTCTAGTTACAAACAAGTATTAATGAAAAATAAAATCAACTAGGCCTCAATCCCAAATAATAAAAATGTCAACTTTGGGATTACTAGTTACAAACAAGAATTTAATGAAATAAACCAACTACGCCTCAATCCCAAACAATAAAAATGTCAGCTTTGCGATTGCTAGTTACAAACAAGAATTAATGAAATATAAAATCAACTACACCTCAATCCCTAACAATAAAAATGTCAGCTTTAGGATTACTAGTTACAGACAAGAATTTTTATGAAATATAAAATCAACTGCGTCTCAATCCCAAACGATAAAAATGTCAGCTTTGCTACAAGGAATGCTACAAAGAAGAAATTAGTATAGACAAGATTTAAGAACCATACCAGGGTTGGTTTAAACTCTTTCATTTTCTGCAACTTTTTGAGTTCAATTTGAAGCTTTTCTTGCTCTTTATCCCGAGCTTCGAGCTCTTCCTCCTTCTGCTTCAACATATCCTCTCTAGCTTTCAACATTTCCTCAGTCTGCTCCTTCTCAAGTGTCATCTTTTGAAGTTTTTCTTGCATTTTTAGCAACTCTTTCTCAAAAGAATTTTCATTTTCTGTTTGTTTATTAGCCTTTGAGGCCCCTCTCTTGTTTGTTTTCTTTTCGGATCTTGGCTGTGAGAGGGTTTCAAGATTCTCTTTAACAGAGTCGTCCACTGGCATCGCCAGTGAAGGCGACTGAGTTACAATTGCAGCCAATATATTGGCTTCATTCGATGATGGATTTTTCTGCTTCAGCGCCCTCCTCGACCTCCCCTTCTTTGCGGGGACAAGTTCGGCGACGAGGGCCATCTCAGCAGTGGTAGCCATGGCTAGGATATGGAGGGGGAGGGGGGAGGAGAGGGGGGTTTGAACAATAGGTTGAAGCTAGAAAGAGTAAAAGTTAATGGTATAGGACTACAGGGTGGAGAAAAAGGGGGGTTTATATAGGAAAGTGGGGAGCCAACGGTTAGTTTTTTCAAATTCAAAAGCCACTATGTTTCCAAAGAGCACTTTGAGTTCCAAGGTATTTGAAATTTTTTACCGTTAGTAGAATTGGATTTGGATTGCCACTATCCTTTTAAACAGTCCCTCACTTGGAAAATTTTTTAAAAGCTCATCCAATAGACAACTTAAATCCAAAAAGGGAAAATCAAAATAAGTCCAATTTAATTTTCTTCTTCTTTTGTTTTATTTATTTAATAAAGCAGTGGTGGACCCACAGAAAGTGAGGGATAGTGACTCAAAAGAAAGGGATTTTGGTCGAACTAGATGAAAAATGTAATCTTTAGACTGCAACTCCAATAATGACAATAATTTGGAAGGCCAAATACATAACCCATTAAACTTTGCCCAATTTTTTATTTTGGCACTCTAACTCAATCTTGTTCCATTTTGGCCCTCCAACCACATTTCTTATGTTTTATTTTAACACAAAAATTTTTATCCGACGTAAAAATGCAGCGCGTATACATACTTGCTTGGCCAAATACATAGACAACCCATTGAATTTGGCTCCATTTTTTATTTTGGCACTCTATCTCAACCTTGTTCCGTTTTGGTCCTCCAACTCTATTTCTTATGTTTCATTTTGGCACTCTATCTCAACCTTGTTCCATTACGGGTTCGAAAGTTCGCGGTTTCGAAAATTTAGCGGTTCGGAAGTTTATAAAATTTGTGGGTATTTCAGGATATGCATGCACACACGTTTCACAAAATATAAAATTTATTTCAAAATATATTATTTTTAATTTTTTTTTTACGAAACCGACCAACTTCGATCATTTTTCTTTTTGGCGCAAAAATGTAGGAAACTCTTTTAGTGTTCTGCAAAATTTATTTTTTAAGAAACAAACTGAAATCGGTCGGTTTTCATATAAACAGTAAATGAGGAAGGAAATAATGAAGATAAAATATGGGGGAAGGAAGTTGGGAGATTAAAAATGAGGCCAACAGTAATAAAGTTATTTTATTACTGTTGGAGAAGGAGTTTTTCCATAAACAATCTGCCTCACGCGCCTACCATGTGAGTCAATTCACACTATGTGACTAGTCAGCTTTCGTGTTAAAATGAAACATAAGAAATAAAGTTGGAGGGTCAAAATGGAATAATGTTGAGATAGAGTGCCAAAATGAAAAATGGAACCAAATTCAATGGGTTGGAGAAGGAAATTTGCCCAAAACAATCTCCCTCACGCGCCTAGGTGAGGCAACTCACTCTGAATCTAGTCCGCTTTTGTGTTAAAGTGAAACATAAGAAATGTGGTTGGAGGGCCAAAATGGAACAAGATTGAGTTAGAGTGTCAAAATGAAAAATTGGGCCAAGTTTAATGAGCTGTCTATGTATTTGGCCAATTTGGAACTTACTATAAGTGATTCAACAAATATTATTTTTTAAATCCGTTTTTTTAATGATGATGGTGTCCTGACCAGCTTACGCGTGCATCGACTATTTCACCGGGTACCTTTTATCTTCCACCAACGTAGGTATCAAATAACTTTGTCTACTAAAGCTTAAACAGATTTGCCCGAACGCGCACCTCGACTACTTCACCGAGTATCTGCTTTCTTCCGCCAGCATAGGTATTGAAAAATTGTCCGCTAAAGCTTAAGCAGATCTGCCAGAATTTGCATTCTTAAGGCCTTTTTTCCCTAGACAAGGCTAACAGAGAGCATATATTGCTCACTTTTCCAGGACCAACCTAAACAGCACTTTACAGTTACAAATTTTAAGATAAAGTGCTAAGAGGGGAGAAGTAGATATGATGAAGTTGGTTAAACTACTAACAATCATTCAAAAGTTTGGAATATCAAATACAAAGTAATTAGTGGAAAACTGCATCAAATTTATCTTAGCTTGTGACTTGCGAATTTTAGAAGTACCAAGTGTACAACACAATCTGTTATTCATCAACATCAAATTCTCATTTGATTCAGATCTCTATAAATATTCCAAATCCACCNTCCAAAACCCCCCCCCCCCCCCCCAAAAAAAAGTTCCCACTACAGATATCTGAAAAACCATGTATATGAGAATCAAGCAATAACATTATAATTAAGATGACCTTCCCCAATGAAAAAATTATATATAGGCGAACTGAAGCTTAACCCGAGGAACATGGTCGCGAGCAGCACCTATCGTGTGGCTTAAATCTCTAGTATTCACATCACAGAGTAGGGATACACATAGCAACGTCTGTTCTCAGTAAATGCCATCGCGTGAACTGGCCTCTCTATTTGCTCAAGAAACAACTTCCACTTCACAAGTTTATGCCATTAACCATTTAACACCATCTCCATTAGCATATCATTCCAAGCATCTATAGGTCCAGGCAAACACCAATGCAAGCAATCATTGATGATTTTTGCATTCTTATCTTTTGCAAACGGTTGAAAATACCTGTATGGACCTGGATGCCCATCGGGCCTCATTAACGAAAGGGCAGTTACATCGAAAAGCTTTAGATTCAAACCCTTCTCAGAAGCTTTAACTGTAGCTTTTCCAATTTCCTCTATCTCGATTTCATGTAGAATCTTGTTAATCTCGGTCAAATTGAACTCACCTCCCTTCACTGGTTCGGTTCTTTTACAATTTCCGCCACTAAACCACTCACCATTCTCAAAATGGTCTGGTGTCGCGGTCCTGAAAAACATCATGCCTTTGTGATTTGATGAGAGGAGATAGTTGAAAACATTTCCAAGAACTTTACGGTACGCAAAGTCGAAACCAAGCTCGGTTAAGTTCCTTTTGGGACAGTAGTGGCAGCCCACTACTGTATCGTTTTCATAGTAGATTGCAGTTTTGACATACCACTCACCGCTTGCAAATATCATATAATCAAAATTGTTAAACTGATCAGTCCAACTCGCATCAAGTTTGTCCAGATGAAGTTCAATCTCAGATGTGGAAACTCCGTTGTAGTCTTCAAATATAGCTGCTTGTGCAAGAAAGGGGGACCAAATAACTGAAACTGTAAAGTTGTATGAGGGGAATAACCATCTCCTGGATCGGTACTCCTTGTCATGGTATACTTCAATGGCCTGCTCTACCTGAAATATGATCGTCCAATCAGATTAGAAAAGAATAACAGAACAAAAAAAACACAAACCTATAGTTAGAAGAGTGGCAAGTTCACAACAACAGAACCTTCAAATAGTAGCACCACATCCTTCTGTGGATTATACAACTGTAAAAGACAGAAGAATAGCACCTCATAATCACTCAACAACTAGCAAAATTGCAAGCAATTAATCGGGCTCAACCGGCATTAGTGAAACATCCATTACAGCCAAAAGCCACATCCAAGATCGAAAAGTTAAACAGATACTAACATAGTTATATCACACTATAGCTTCTGTGATAAACAGACTTTTTTTATTTATTAAAACGTCATATAAGCAGTCCGATTCTTTTGGCAGATCCAAGATGATACAAACATCTAACAGTTTACATAGGACCCTCCTCACTTCAACTACTCCACTACAAGGTCTTCATAACCGAAGTATATGTGCTGAAACCTGTTACCATGCAACTGGTTGGCTTTTGGTACCCCCAAGTATATCTAACCGTACTTGATAGCTCAGTAATTAACCGGTTACAAGCATTTCCCGACGAAGACGAAAAATGGTGGAAGCAAAGACAAACATGAAGATCAGGGAAGAATTTTAAGGCTCGAACTAAAATTTTAAATTGAAAGAAACCAGCAAAGGAAATACTCTGGTGACACTATAATGGTGATCTAAACATTCAAGCTATCTCCCAGTAACAGGCTAACAGCTTCCGTGCAATATAAAGTTAAACACTTATACTTTAATGTTTGAAACACCTAAATTTTATGAGATAAATGAATACTACCTCCATTCCAAGTTGACTGGCTTTTCTTATTGGGCTGCCACAAATGCTGTCCACTGTTTTTAAAGTAAAAAATCCCAATGGGCCAAAAATAGCAGCCCTGTGCACAAGGCATCCGCGTTCCAATGCATTTTATATTAGTACGAAAAGTTGTACCGGTCCAATTTTTACTTCTGGACAATTTTTCTCTACCCCATTTTTCAACAACAAAAGGGGGAAGGGTACATTTTGGGTGGAACGGAGTGAACATAATTGAGAATACCAAACAAAGGAATGGAGTGGAACATCATAATCCCAAGATCATTCCTTTGTACCGAATGGATAACCAAAATGCCCTACGCAAATAGCGATGTGCTAACTTATTCAAGTCAATAGAGCAGAATGTATTGTGCCTTCATGGAAAAAGATTTTCCAAGCAACGAGAAGAACAAAAAGATCATTTTGTTACTTGATCAATGCCAATGCTAAATTATGGTGGAAACATGGCGAAAGAACAACTAAAACTTACACAAGCAATTTAGAGCCATTGACAATGGCTGTAACTAGTTACCTTTGAGAGTACGCAAAGAAATGATTGGACATGGTTCCTCGATATTGAATCACCGATCAATGCCCATGTTTTATTACTCACTAACTGAAGAAACTTATGTGGATCAAACCGAGGTAACTCGCAATTACGTGGATTCCACCTCCAGTAAAGATAACCAGTATCAGGCCGGCCATTCGTCATACAATTCTGATGGCTTTCAATAAATTTGCATGTTTCGTTTGTGTAAACAGGACCAGATGGATCAGGAATCCAATCTCCATTGAAAAGGTTACACCTCCCTGCTTGCTCTATAGCACAAAGGAAACAAATCACACTATGTGACAACAGAGACATTTTCCAAAACAAGACACATACTATAAAGGGACAGCAGCTAAAGAATCAGTCAACAGATCTATAACCTACTATGACGTAAAGCAAGATAACTAAATCAAACAAAATGTTCTATTTACTTTGTCAAGTTCAACACTTAGGTAACGATTCCAGTTAAAACAAATCCCCCCTCCCAAAAAAAATAAAAAAATATACAGAGTTCCACACTGAATGAAAAGCAAAGGGTATAACAAAGCATTTATTCTTTGCACATTTTGACTTACTACAACCACAACCATACAAATTATTGCTAATCAACTGCACATCTAATAACCAGAATCATAAAAGGGAAGGGGAAGAAGCAGATGCGCATTCATGATCATAGCTCACTGAATGTGGAATAACAATGCACCCACTACAGTGTAATTAATACAAACATATATTTAAGTTATATACACTGATAGAGTAATGAATGTTTTACACCATATTACTTACAATTATTCTAGGATAATGTTATTACATCGAGTTACTTGCAATTGTTATTTAAACAACATGATGGTGCAACTTGCAAGCATTTTACACCGTTGATGCATAAAAGTTAAACTCAACTTTTAAAGATTATAGCTATAATAGATCCAAAAGTAATTAAATTTCACAGTCTCAATTATGCAACAATTCTTCCTTATGATCATTAAGGAGTTACCTTCTTTATGACATTCTAATATCATATATATATATATATTCAATTTCTATTCACAAATATATAAATCCAGGAATGGGAAAAAGCTCAAATACCTTCAGGAACAATCTGATCTGCAGTTTCAGGCAAACTGAAAGAAACTGGAGGCGATAAAGATTGAGTCTTTTGGACAAAAGGGGTTTCTTGAACTTCAGAAATCACATCAGATCTTGAAAATAAAAGCCTAAAAGCAAGACCCAATAACAAAATCGAAAATCCCAACTTTAAAACAAAGTGATTTTGCTTGTAAAGTGACCTCCACCATGATTTCCAATGAAACAACATTTTCTTCAGCATTCACACTGAGCTCTTCTATTTTCACTATGGGGCGAAGATCTTTAATGAAAATACATAAAGATGTAATCTTTAGCTCAAGATTTCAAAAGGGTATTGAACTTTAGTGCCAATAAGTGAAACAGATATAGGAAATACAGTATTAAATGCAAGTTGAAGGAGCCGACAAAGGTGGACTGTGTGGAGTGTGTAGTAGATTGCAGAAGCACATGATGAAGAAACGTTAAACAATTGAGTTTTGGTTTGGCGTTTGGACAGAAACAGAAGATACAGAACCAGGGAATATTTTAATTCCCATTCTTTATAACTAAATAAGTAACAAAAAAGATTAACCATTTAATCTTTTTTTAGATCATAGGATTCACATTTATTACTCCATTATGTAGAAAATATTGTTAAATATTTAGAATGGAGATTTAAAATTTGAATTTTATGAATTGGAATTTTATCACATCTAATTAAATTTATTGGGTTTGAAATTTATTACTACTATTTAAAGTTACTTATTGAATAATTTAAGCTACCGGTTAGATGAATGTAGTTTATATATAAGATCTACCCTTGTTTAAAATAAATAAATTAAAGTATTCCTCTCAATTGACAATTAAGTATATATTTGCACCCAATAAAGATGTGCAAATTGAGTGATTGGTTTTCTTCAATATAAAGACTTCCTAATTCAAAATGTGAAAAAATAATAATCTGGGACTACATTATGATTAAGATAATTACATTTTAGCTTTATGGTTTATGTCCCTTACCTAATGTGGTAGTACACACTATTTAGATGACTGAATTAGTTTACCAACTAAAGAAAATGATAATTACATGAGTGCAGGTTTTGAACATGACAAACTATCATTAAATTTTACTATTAAGGTTTTGTTTAGTGCCACACCTTCCTCTATAATCCGTGTAAAGAAGAATGTTACCTTTCTATATATGTTAATAAGATGATTAATGACAACCATATAAATATTTATATCTTATTCTAGACTACAAATTTTAAAAAAATTTCTTTTTTAACCTTCGTGTTTTGTCAAACACCATCACATCAATTGGAACGAAAGAAGCAGTATTTTTTAGCATGATATTTTTGGATTTGGATTTAGGGATGATGTAGATCTTTCTCTAACATCTTTCCACACCTATAACTCAGATTCTAGAATTTACACATAGATTCAAATTTCCTTTTTAAGCAGGAACAAAATACAAATTCACTTTGATCCCGGACGTTACTAATACAGTCAAACCTTTCTATAACAACCTTATTTATTCCGATATTTTTTGGTTGCTATAGTAAAGTGCTATTATAGAAGATATATATTATAACATAACATAAAAATCAGTTTCGAGTAAAACTTGACTTATATAGTGAATGGTTGTTATATATGAATGTTGTTATAGAGAGGTCCAACTGAATTAGTAAGTTTGTTCATCGTTCTCCATGAAAAAAAATCTCTTTTTCAATAAATAAGCTCCGAAATATTCTAAAAAAGGATATTGGTAGGAAGCTACATTATCGAAAAAAAATCAAGCTAAGTTACATCATTTATGAAAATCAATGGGAATTCATTCCCAAGTTACAGAAACAATAGAATTATTAAGATCTGACTCCTCAAAAGTTAAGTTACTATCATACTCTAAAAACTTCACTGCCCCTGGGAAAACTTGTCTGAATCGAAATGGCCTTGTCTCTGCTTCTTCAAACTCAACACAACAATAAGACCATAGCAACTTAATTGAATCAGTTTTCAAGAAATTCCTTTGTATTCTACGTCCATCAAAAAGGCGAACCGCAACTCTGCAAATTAAATTGCTATCACCCTTTGGTTCTTCAGGCAAAGGAGGATAAAAAATCTTCATTACTTCTTTGATTTCATTACTCTGTTGTATGCCTTCATCTTCTTTAATTTCATCGCGAGGATTTTTCCTAGATCGTTTATGCAATAAATTAGCATAATATTCTGAGGGGCTAAGATCAATAAAAGATGTAATATCCTCTAGTAAATTTTCAGGCTGAACCATTCCATTCCAAGAACGCATTTTTTGACCTGTTATAGGATCAATTACTAATATAACAGGCAAAGAATTTAATTTATAGTACGTGCAAACTTTTTGGCCTTCCTCAGTATCATCATTTACTTGCCAGAAAATAAAATTCTTTTTTATAATCCGTGCAACATAATCGTTAGCCCAAGTATCTCTGTTTAGCATATGTGACGTGAATTCTTGCATGGATTGCACGTTCACTAACAGCCATTTATTCTGCGTTTTTGCAGTATCAATCGCGTTGTTAAAAGGCCCGTTGTATAGCAAAGCAAAAGGTGGACGATACATAGAAGATAGATTATCGTCTCGTTCCTCTACCCTCCAAACATCTCCAGGACGACTACTCAATATTTTATTCTCTAAGTTGTGTGACGAACCATTACCAATATATGGTACTGCAATATTGTGATCATCGTCGTCGACGTTGTCTCCATCATATTGTCCCCAATAGTCTGCAGCTCCATTTAAGCTAGGATTATCGACAAGTTCATTATTGTAGAAAAGTTGAATTGCTTCCTCAAGATTCCAGCTTGTTGTCTGAAGGAATCGACGGGCAGTATCGGCCGTTTGATCTACGGCTATTTCAAGGAAAGAAGAAACTAACATCTGTTGGTATGATTCCATTCTTTTTTTTTCGTTGTAAAAGAATAGGTAGTAACACTTGTATTTATAATAGTAAGAGACCTACTTTGATTCGAAATAGGAACACTTATTTGATTTTGACTAGGAAAACTATTTTACACGTGAATTAAGAAACTGTTGAAAACTATCTCCTACACAATTTAGGATTACTATTATTTGTAAAACTATAAAATTTATTTAGGAATAAATTAAAGAAAGTAGTAACAACCAAATATTAGACTGTAGTATTTAATCGTAGAATACTACTCCCTGTATTTCAATTTGTGTCTACGTTACTATTTCGGGAGTCTACGGCGTAGGCAACGTGCCCAAGTGTGTCACATGACACCGCTTCGTCAATTTTGTTTACTAAATATATATGTTAGATAATAAGAAAAATAAAAATATTTGGTAAGAATATAAAAATGGCACCGCTTAAAATATAAAAATGATACTGTCTACGAGGTTCATTTTTTACCACTGGTTTCTTAAATGTTTTATAAGTATTTTGAAATATTAATTATTATGACTTATAGTATTTTGTATGTAGTTTCCAAATATGTAAATTTTATTTCATAAAACTTGAAAAATCTATGTCTAATTTCATAGTCAACTTTGACTCTAGAAGATTTGCAGCAAAATCCAATGAATCCTCACTACTCAAAAACCCTAGCCGTTTTGTTATTGATGGAAAATTCATTCTTAAACACACATAATAATAATATTTATATACGCTCGCTCTAGGGTTTTACGTAGATGAATTATTAATGGACTTGTGAGCTATCTTACATCCATTATGGGTAAACCCGACTCAATAAAATTTTTCAACATAAACAATTTAGGATTACCATTCATGGTTTAATTTCTATAATTATTTATCTTTAATATGCCAAATACCATAATTTCGGCTTACATGCACTAACTAAAAATCATACTGTGATATGCAAAAATATATTTGAAAACACATTAATCCACAGTTCTATCTCTTTGGTGTTGTAGTTACAGAGGAGTCTCCTTAATCAGAAAATAGATTACAAATGCAGGATAATGTTCCCTTCTACAAGATGTTTGTAACATTCAATCTAGCAAACCAGAAGCAAACAGTGTGAAAATCTACATTAAAGAAGATAAATCAATAAATAACTGAATGATCTAAGTTCTGTCACCAAATAAAATGAATTTTTCTACTACAAAAATCTGTGCATATTAGTTACACAGGCTTCAGGTTACATTTCATGTTTACATAAAGAAGAAGAGAAGCTTTATCCTTGCCTTCAACTAACATAATTGCTCTGCAATTGCTTTGGGACTTTCATACCAAATCCATGCTTTACTCTTTCAACCCTGTAAGAAAATCACAAAAACCAGAGAAACATCAGATTAGGTTACTAGAAAATATCCATTAAAACTATACAATATCCTCAAAGATAATATGCAAACAGATTATCGTCCAGCATATTCTCTGTTCAAGAGTAGTCAGAAGGTTTGAATAATTTTTTCAAATACATTTATTAAATTTTGGAAATATGACTGAAGATGTTAAATTTCAAAATCCTTTGCTAGGCATCACATAAACTTCTCTCGGTCAGTTCATCTATGGTTCTAATGGCAACAGTCATGATTGAGATTTGAGAGAAGTCAGATATTCAATACGAAAGATAGAACAGGTAACACTTTAGACTTAATCGACCAACAACCAGTCCTAAACCTCAACCATAAAAGGAATCTAACGATTGTGCCAACTTATGACTTTAAAACTTGAGGTTTATTTTAATCCACCTAATTGTAACAGCATTCTTTTAATGTTGCATGCATATGTTCATATCCTTAGCTTTAGGTGCACAAGCTACCTAGTCATTTAAATGTATGAGCTTCCACTTGGACTACGCGCTCTGATTATAATTGAATAGGTAGAAATTCTGATGTATGTTGTTTAATATCTAAGCAAGAAGTCTAGGTCCTCAGAGAGATGGTCGATTTTAGCTTTTAACTCCAATACAGCAACTAAAATCTGAAAAGTACATCCAACCACAGGCTTGCATTCACTTGGGCAGGCGAGAGTCTCTAGCCCAAAGAAGAATGGGAATACCAAAATATCTGACAAATTTAACCCCCAGTTCTCTTCAACAGCTACAACTTTCTATGAGCTTTTGGCTAACTTTTTTTTTTTTAAAGGAGAATATGTGGTGATTAACTTCAATCCGATAGAACACTATAAAATGACCACAATAATCATTAGCCACTAACGATGGAAGAATAAAAGGCACACAATAAAAATTGTCAGTACTACAGTCTTATTCTATGGAACACGTAGAAAGTAGACTCTTTGATATATATGCTATATGGAAACTTACGTTGGGGCAAGTTTGCCTAGGCCATCAAGTTCTTCACCAGTGTGTTCATCAACAACTTTTCCTGAGATCTCTATGGAATAGGACTTATTTCGTGTCATAGGGAGACCTCTGCTCACCAGTAGATCTAAATCTTTCTGATGGAGCTCGCGTCCATTCACGTAAATCCCTGTATTCCCAGCAGCACAATCTTTTGGGATTGGAAAATTAAATTCCTCAATATTTGGCTGCAAGAAAAATTGTGACACTTCATCAATTGGTAATCCACCAAAAAAACGTCCAAGAGATATGTTCTACATCAGACATTATTGAATCCTACCAGAATGACGCCAAGGCAGGGATGGCCCATCACTCCCCAAAAGCCAGCTCGGTAGTCATACCTAGTTCACCATTTAAATAACAGCGTTTGAAGTCAATTTTCAGATGATCTAAGTTTATCATCATATATTAGATGGCAAAATAATATCCACAAGAAAACAATCAAGAAAGCATCACGGTTGTAAATTTCACCATGATTACTACCATCCAGAATTATGAGAAAGCAAACAAGAAAAGGATGAACTAATATGCATTTTTGAAACTAATATAGCATATAATATCTTTTGTCCTTTTCGGTACAGATGCACTTACCAATAATATCCTGGCTGAATGGGCCCCGCTAACTTCTCTGCCTTCTTAACAGCACGATCTGGTATCAGTCTTCCATTGACAAACACATTTGATCTTCCATTCTCTGAACTTTGACTAGACCTTGATAATTCTCCAAAGCTCCTTTTAATAAAACCCATAAAGGACTCGCCTCCCTTGTTGTTTTTTGATAAATTTTCCTCTTTGCTTGATTGATTTGATTCCATAGATACACCTACAAACTCATTTATCGATACATCCATTTCCACTGCCATAGATGTATCTTTAATAGAATTCTGCCTAGAGGTACTTTTATCAAGTATGGTCCTCTCTTGATCAGTGTTTTCCTTCATGTTCCCCTTGCTGTAATTTTCTACCACATCTTTGGGAGAAATACCATAAGTATGGTCCTTTCGAGATGAATCAAGGAGTGGTGGAGGATCATCTTCAAGGGGCATTTCAGCACGATGAGAAACGTCATGTCTAACAATCACCCTCTCTGGGCTTAGCTCATCTTCAGAAAGACTAGATGATGAGGAATGAGCATTATGCCTCTTCTCAGGTTCAGTGGAATTTGATTTCTGACTCCTCGAAGATGACCCGAGCTTAGCATCGGCCAAATGGCAGTTATAGTTAAAGTTATCATAATCATCAGACCAAGGGATCGTCTCCTCATTCCTCAAATTCTCATTTGGCACATCAGCTGAATCAGGAGCAAACTCAGCAGACACTTGTTTAACTTGCGTAGGAATGGATACACCCGACTCATTGCTACCAAGTTCAAATAGAATTATGGAGGAACAGGCTCCACATCTCATTCTCTTCTCACTCTTTCCTGTCATCTTTAGTTTTGTAGGCACCTTCAGCAGCTCAAAGCAGCTACAGCACGTAATGAAAGGGGCACCACCTGCAATAGCTTGATATACACGTCCAACTCTATGGGAAACCACCACTCTTCTAGGATAACGCCGATGACCAAGACCACCATTTTCTGGCTCCAGGTCACTCGGACTTCTTGTAAGCCGCCTTCCTTCATGATAATTCTTATTAAGGGCATAGGAGCCTTCAGATGTATAACCCCCTGGACCATAACCCCCAGAGGTCATGTGGTGATGTAAAATGGGATTAGCAGGGGCGTCTCGTGACCTTCGGCTGCCAAAACCAGAGGGTTGAATCACAGCAGGAAAGTGATAATTTTGGTTCAAGCAAAGTGAACAAGAACATGCAGACTGGTGGAAAAGGGTGTCATGCGGATGTGGTACGAAGAAGTTATCCATTTGATGCCCAGGAAACTGTTTAGGGTACGTTTGGGGAAAAGGCTGATACAGAGTCTGATGGGGAGGCTTTCTGAGCATTTGTTGGTGATGTTCCTTTCTATTTCCAAGAAATTCATGTGAAAAATTGTCTGAAAGATAAGCGTCTGCCATCATTGAACCATGTGGATCCTTATAAGGAACACTTCCTTGATGTCCATATGTGTATGGACGCTCTCGAACATTCTTAGCAGGACCTAGGGGATGTCGGTTAGCACCGTAAGAATCCTGGTTATGCACATCGTGCCTGCTATACGGATCAATGGTTGTTGAAGCCATCCTCGCATCAACAGGAACCCTATCCTTAGGTTTCTCAGAAACATCACAAGTTCGGCTGAGTTGGTCCTTTAAGTTATTGATCTTCCTTAAGAGCTCGGCTCTATCACTCTCCAAGTCCGCAACTCTAGCTACCCCATCCAAATCACCGTTGTACCTCCTATGGTTAACAGAGCCATAGTAAGAACCCATGTCATTTTCTAGTGGCCCGTCACTAGGATACGGAGGAGCACTGAACTTCCCTTGCCTTGTGGCAGCTGCACCATTTGCATAAGATCTTTCGATGTACCGACTGTCCATAGGTGGTCCTGAACCTAGTAACTCCATTGAAGGCCTTACCCTTTTAAACTCATTGCCAACACTGAGACCAACAGATTCAACAGTATTAATCTTTCCCCAATAATTATCCGCCCTAACACCATGATCCATCTTGCCTTTAGAAGTAGAAGTACTACATTCATTGTAACCATAATTGTTCTCTCTTCTAAACCTATCTAACCTCGAACCAATTAAAATTTGTTCACCCTCTCCGGCTTTATCAAAATCATCCAAAACTTCCTTATCATCGGATCCTGAAATCACTCGATTATGTGACACCATTCTTCCATTATGACTTTTCCCTTCTGTCCTCCTTGGTAGAATGTCACTACTTTCCTCATCGAAATCAGAAACAGTATCTAAACTCATGGCAACCTCTCCTTTACCAGCAACTGCTCTACCCTTTTCACCATCTGATATCTCCGACAAGCCATTATCCAAAATCCCCTTATTTTTTGCTGCATTACCATAATAACAAACAAAAATGGAACTTTAGAATCTTAAAAACAAGATTCAATTTGAAACTTATTCTAACATAGCTATGCTAGACATATTACAAAAGTTCTGCTGTATTGAATATGTGAACGACATAAAGAAACATATGCACAGAGGGAAAACGTTGAATCTTGTGAAATGCTCGTCTAAAAGCATAAACTGCTATAGATAGACATTTTTATTTACTTATCTTCAACTCACCCCTTCACATGCGGGCCAGATTCTTTTTCTTAGACGAAACAAGTGAAAGTATTTACAACAACAACAACCACTACTACGCCTCAGTCACAAACAAGTTGGGATCGGCTATATGAACGTTACTCCATTTAAAAGTACTTAGTTCTACTTAAACTATTAGATGAGCAGTTTTACATAATTCAACATTAAGGTATAAACTATAAAAGTAAAAGAGAAAGGAGTACCTCTAAGAACAGTACCACAACCACCACATTGGTAAACAGAAAAGTCATGGAGCTCAGGGAGAAGATTCCCACACTTTGGACAACGAACCAATCGAACATTTGAAGAAGCTTCTGCCATTTTCAAGATTCCTTAAAGAGTAATTAACTCCTTTTGACACCAAAATTCATCCAAAAATGGATCAATAACAAGAACTCAAAATCCCAAAACACCAAGTTAAAAAAGGAAAAAATACCCAAATAAAAGCTTAATTCAAAGAGCAAAATCAAGTCTTGAACTTGTCAAATTTAAGCAGAAATTGCAAAAGGCAATAACATTATCAAACAAGAAATGCAAAGCTCAATACAAAGAGCAAAATCAAACCTTGAACTTGACAAATTTAAGTAGAAATAGCAAAGAGAATAATTTTATCATACAACAAATGCAAGGCTGAAACCAAAGAGCAATATGGGGTTATTGGACTAAACCAATTTTGAGTAAAATGGGCAAAGATGATAACTTTATCACTTGAAGGTACAAAAGAAACACAAGAAAAATAAAGTGTGAAACTTAACAGTACAGTCCAGAAAGAGGGGGGGAAAAAAAGGCAACAATTTCTTGTTGGTTAAAAAAAGAGCTGCAGAATTTGATGTTCCCAAGAAAGAGAAAAGGGAAGGTTTGGATTTGGAGGGAAGAGAAAAGAGAGAATATGTTGATGACCCGTTTCCCGACAATTTCTTGCTTTTCTCAGGTTACATTACATTACAATATTACATAACAACTTCTAGGAAAGAGGGGACCAATATTCCTAGCCTAATATTTGTATAACTATAAGAATTTTGAAATTAATAATTTAAATTACGAAAAAGAGTCAAAAATATGTTTATCATTTAATAAATAGTTTAAAATAACTTTTCGTCTATTTTTTAATTCAAAAATACACACAATGTCATCTTTCGGATTAAAATTACTCCGGAATAATTTGTCGGTCCTTTAATGCACTGGCATCGTTTTATTAAGTTCTTAACCCCAGAGCGGTTAGGGATATTTCTGGATCAAAAAGTGGACAAAGAGTAATATTTATATGATTATACATGTCATAATATTTATGAGGTTACAAAAAAAATTCATTGATTAAAAGGTGTCATTATTTTTTAAACACTTTAATAAAAAATAATGTCAAATAAAATTGAAATGCAGGAAGTATGGGGTAAATTTGTACTTCATTTTCTTTTGTCCTTAGTATATTGGAATTGTTTAAAGGTGTGGATGATATTTCGTTTTCGATATTAAAGTAGCTTTGACAAAGCCAAAGAGAGAGCGATGGGGCTGCTAGCTGTTGTGCATCTTTAGTCAAAATTAGTTTCAAGTATTGCTCGTTCTCGAGCGACTTGGTCTTAAACCAACGGATTCAGGATTTAAACCCTATGAGTTTAGCTTTTAAATTTTTTTAGTATTTAACCCATTATATTTTTAAAGTTATAGGTTTATATATATTATTTTTGCAATTTTGAATAAATTTTTACATGTAAATTTTTACCTCGCGTCAAAAGTTATGGGTTCAACTGAACCCGTCGTTAGTACGCTAGGTCCGCCCCCGCTTACACCGTTTGACAACATCTTCTTTTTTGGTCACTTTCTTTCTTTTTAGTTGCATTCGTTTCAAAAGTTTACTAGAAGCAAATCTTTGTAGATATTAGGATACGGAATAATGTTGTCTTTGAAATTCAGAATCTCTTTCAATTTAACTATATTAGATATATTTAATTTTTGAGATTCCCTAACACAATTAATTTGAATTCGCTTAAGATAAGCTCACTAAAATGTGTAATATTCCATAGCATTTCAAAAATCGACTCGAAAACTCCGATTAAGGATAAGGTAATCTGAATTATCTCACCACAACCTTCAATAGTAAGTTCAATCTCTTTTATGTGTCTCACTAGTAGCAATTCTTGTCTTTTAATATATATGGAGTAACTATTTATCAACTTCCATATCAATTAATAGCCTCAAAAAAGATATCGGACTCCGTGTGAAAAAAAATGTTAGAAATAAAAGAAAATAGAGGTATTATCACTTTTAGTCCGTACCAGAAATTATTTACATTCGGTAGCAAAAAAAATATATGAAATTTGTAAAATTTTTGTATATAACATACAGAATGTATGTATATATATATATATATATATATATACAAAAAAATATAGATTTTTTCGATTATTATTTTGAGAGCTGCATACCCAAGAGGACATTAGGACAAAGTGAAAATTCTGTACGTGTATATATTATTTTTCACATATTCTTAATATCTGATTTACTCCTTATTTATAATTTCTAGGGATCATATCTAGCTATTTTAATTTATGCCCAAGCTTAGTTTTAAAATACAATCTGATTATCATTTTAAAATCATTAATTTTGAGGAAGAAATTGCAAGAGACAGATTATAATTGATTTGGCATATTAAAGTAACAGTTTAGGTGAAATAGTTGTATTTCTGCACCTGCAAATCATGGTGAGTTGAACAAGAATTTGCCATCCATGATTATTGTAGCGGATGATATAAGCGACGATGACTTTAAGTTATTGAAAAATCAATTATAGTACTATCAGACCAAGAACTAATAAGTTTGAATTTTTTTTGGGTTGACTTAGTAAAATAATCCATAGTAATATTGGTATAGTATATAGTTTTAATTTAAAAACAACAAAAAATAAATACCAACAACCAACGTGGTACCCATAATAATTTATGAACGACCTCAGGTGTAAGTGAGAAGAATATATAGTTTGAAGTTCTGCAATCTTAAATCTTCCTTGAAAATGTTTTTATTTTCTTTTACTTTTAGCTAGCTAATTAATTCTAGTTGTTTGTTTCAACAAGTTTCGTTGTTATAAGTACTTTTTGCAACTACTTGACATGTAAGACAAGTAAGCCTTGAACCTTATCACAGTTCTACTCATTATTAATTCGATTTATGAAATTCTCCTAATTCTTAACTAGAGATATTAGGTTTCATCTCGAGAATGAAGAGATCTTTGACAAGGGAGCAATATAATTATTGAGCTCTACACAATGCGAATATAAATTAGATGAGACATTATATTTAGAACCAAATAATTAATCAATAAAAAGCAATTCAAATAAAGAGTGTGTTGCTCACGTGGGATTTCAAAACTAATAGTTCCAAAAGGTCACAATTGGAATACCAAAAAGTCATATATCCTTTTTTGCCAAACATGAAATCAACTTATTTTAAAAAATATTTTTTAGAAGTAATTTGAGTTTGGCTAAAATCATTTTTGAGCAGTAATTAATGTTTGGCCAAATTTTAAAAAAATATTTTTAAGTATATTTTTCTCAAAAGCGCTTTTCAAAAAAGTATTTTTGGGAATAAGTTATTTTTTTCTGTTTCTCAAAAATTGTTTCGGCTTCTGCTCTAATTAATAGTTCTGGTGTTACCCAATTAAATCAATTTCTCTCTTCTCCGCGTGGATTTTACCAAGTCCGTACTGCTCTTCCAAACGTTAGTTTCTAAATCTTTAGGAGTTAAGTTCTTGATTACTTAAAAGGTAAATATATTTATTAAATAAATATTAATTGATAACTTGTAGGAGTACTATAATTAGTACTTACTTAGTAGTTAAGTAAGAGGATTTCCCACAAAAAAAGAATTTAGTTGTCAGAGACGCCATTTTTGTCCAATGTACACTTTAGTAAAGGGCAGTTTCACGTACCTACGCTCTATTGATCTTGTTCTTATTTTTCTGCAAAGATTCTTAATCATGTGACTGACTCAGAGAATCTTAATCAAACTCATCATCTATGTTATGACTTTAGACTCATCATCTCATTTTTCGACTATATATTTTTGTCCATTGCAGCCAAATATCAAGAATGATCAATAACAAACTCATATTGGAGGAGAAAGATAGAGGAAATGATTCAATCTTGGACTATGTTAAGTCATCTGCTTAATTAGCAGACTTGCAAGTCGTCGTTTCTGATATGAAAGTGAAAGTGGAGTGAAAACAGACCTTAAGCGGGATGCAAAAACGTTTAATTACATTACAAATGTGAATATAAAAGTCAAATTCAATCATTAAAATAAAATTCTTGTAGTCCGATCTTCTTTTTTCTACATTCCCAAAATGGATCCTATCATATATAATCCTCCTTAATAGACGAAATATTCTTACATGATTTTTAACCGGGCCAAGGGCATGCACCAGCTTTAGTCTTCTAGGTTTCATCTTTTATTCTACTTAACCAAGTTACTAACAAAAGTTCTAACTTTATTTCAAGACCTATTGATGTGTGGCTATAATTTCGTATTTTAGTACATTATTTGCCTTGCATTTTATATGTTTTAATGATAAACTGTACTTTAATTGCGCGTAATGAAATCTATTTTATGTGTAGGTGAATTGGAGATGAAAGTAGAGCAAAAGAAATACTTAAAGTCTAAAGTGTGCTCGAAAACAGTTGAAAAAAAGAAAGAAAGAAGTGAGCAGCCTACAAATGAGAAAGCTGGCGAAGCCAGGCCTAAAGGGACGTTAGAGCAGGCTAGGCGAGGGGTAACGCGAGATCCACCAGGCGTTGAAGCTGGCGACGCCAAGTTTGGGGCGAGCTTCAGCTCGCGTGAAGCCTCGCGAGGCCAGGTATGAGGCGCGCACATTCCGAACTTTGAAGGCTTATTTCGTCTCCTGGTTTGACTAGGACTTGGCCTACGCATTTAGGTCTTTTCCTACACATATAAATAGACCTAAAACGCCACTTTTGAAGGACTTTTGGCAATTGGAGATAAGGATAGCTCGTGGAACAACCGTTGGGAGCTAGATTCATTGATTTCTACATCCCTTTATCCTTACTTTGTAATTTAATTATGCAAAATATTTTAGATATTGTTACTATGACTATGAGTAGCTAAACTCCTAATCTAAGGTTTTGATGGAACCTATTGAAGGATGATTTTCTTGTTACGTTAATATAGATTTGTCGTAGTATTTTCTCTATTTGATCAACTATAATATTATTGTGGTTGATCGACGGGCCCGTAATCGACTGTACCTATTTAGTGTGTACTACTCGGGAGAGAGTGTATATTTAGGTAGTTGTTGAACAACATCACTCCTAACGTATATGAGGGATCAATATGTAAGGTTTAAAGGTGGGATTAGGGATAACGAAACCTTTGTCCGATCCGAGTGAGCCGTACTTAATGCCAGCTAGCGTAATTCGGGAGAATATATCTAATAAATTATGGTAATTACTCGGGAGAGAGTTACGACAGTCAGAGTGCTCATGATCGATAGAGAAGACTTAGGCAAATTTATAGAAAACGTAGCGGAAAAGATTCCGACAATAGGGAAAATCACAACCTTAGATCATTCCAATTCTTGTCTACAACTGTTAATAGTTAGTTATTAATTGTTGCATTTTCATTACATAATATTTAGTTAGTAAACATCCAAATTGTTACTTAAATATTTTTGAAGATTGATTGCGTGAGTGTGCGAGTCTAGTAGTTGTGTTTGATAGGTTAATTCCCTGTGAGATTCGATTCCGGACTTATTAGCCAGAATATATTTGCAACGACTGCTTAGGCCTTTTTATAAGGCATAGTTGGGCGTGATCAAATTTTGGCGTCGTTGCCGGGGAATTGACGATGTTATTAAGTGCAACTAAAAGAGGTGCTAGAATTCTTAGTGTAGTCAATTTTCTTCATTTTAAACCAAATACACTGAAATTTAACGTTT